CACAGGATTGTTTGCTTTGAACACCCCTCTATCGCTGTCAATAGGGTTTCGTATCGCTCATTTTGAAGCTGCGCGTGCTGCAAAAACTGGCCCTTGCCGAACGTATCGTGTGCCATGAACGAAAAAAAATTATACTTAGACAGGTTTGTCCCGTGCGTTGCGTCAATCTTCAAAACATCAGGAAATTGGTCGAATGTGTTTTCATATACTTTGTTTGTAATGTGATGCATGTCGCCAATTTCTGTGTATTCAATAGCACACAAAAACAACAAATGTTAACCTCATCAATTGACGTTAGACCCTACAAAAGCATCATTGTACCTTGCTATCAACGTCGTCCAAGAACACTCGACCAACGTTCTTAGGCACAGGCAACTGCATTCACTTGGCCTTGCAGCTCTTCTGGCTTCTGGAAGCCAAGATCGCCGACCATGATCCGAAGACGTACAATTTGTGCGCCAAGCTCCTCATGTCCATTGAAGCTAAAGTCGTCAATCAGCAATTTGAAGTGCCCAGCACGCAGACGGCAGAAGATGTCACTCGACGACTCATGGATATCCCTCAGATGATGGATAAATTGGAGCAAGTGTCTGTCGAAGAGGAAGGAGAAGCTCACGGCAAGGACGAGGAATTGGCATCAGCTCAACTCGAGACAGGAAGTGCACCCATGACGCCTAGCAAGTCGGCAAGTCAGCCTGCACTGCTTTTGCAGTGGATGGAGAAGGAGCGTAAGAAGCGCTACAAGTATTTCCACGAGCAGCGAGACTTCGTGAAGGCACTTACAGATATTTCGGAACGCATGCGCGCAGTTGACCCACCCCAGAACCGTAAGAAGCTTCTTCCTGGAGAGCTGAAAGCGCTGGTGGTCCCAGACATGGCGTACATACCTCTCGGTCGTGTGTCGGATTCGTTTTGTCGCATTACTCGTGTACTCACTGACGAAGGCACAGTATTCTCTACCCACAGTCGAGCGCCGTGCTTGCTCTGCTTCGAGGTGATCGAAGACCAAGTCAACTCTGCTGGTCAACGCAAACTCTCAACAGAACTGAAGAATCCTAGTGACATGCTCCGTAAATCCGCATCGGACCCAGGTCTGACCAGCCTAGAAGCTGAAGTTGCCCGTCTCGTCAAAAAAATTGCCATTAATGGGCAACTTATCTGTGTTGAGAACGCGTTAAGTCCCCATGAGAACGAGGACGATGGCGCTGATACTGAAGGTAACCGTGACGATATCGACGCGACTGACAGCGTTGAGGCGCCTGTTTTCCCTTTGCAAAGTGGCTTGAATTCTCCAACAACCACAGTGACGTCCGACGATTCAATGGACTCGACGTCTGAGCTGAGCAGAGAAGACTCGCAGCAGCTGAATGTCATTCGCGGATACTCCAAGACAGCATACGAAATGGGTCTCTCCAAGCTGCTCAGTGCAAGCGAGGTCTTTGGTGAAGGCTGGGAAGCGAAGAAGGAGCGGATTCGCGCATCATCGCCGCATGGCCATTTACCCGGATGGAACGTCATCTCACTGGTAAGCAAACTAACTACATATATACTCTACATGTAGTTCCTCACGTGAGCATTGACTCTTATCCTGTTGTGTAGATCTCCAAGAGCAACGATGATATTCGACAGGAGGTTTTCGCGATGCAGCTGATCACCACGTTCCAGAACATATTCCACGAGAGCGGTCTTCCATTGTGGCTACGTCCGTATCGAATAGTGTCCACGGGTCGTACCAGCGGCTTGCTCGAGACGATCACAGATGCGCAGTCGTTGGATGGCCTCAAAAAGAGGGGCGACTACGCAGGCTTGCGAGCTCACTTCGAGAGAACGTATGATGTTGGTGATGCCTTCAAGAAGGCCCAGCGTAACTTCTTGCACAGTCTCGCTGCCTACTCCGTGGTGTGCTACTTGTTGCAGATCAAAGACCGTCACAATGGAAACATCATGCTGGATACAGAAGGCCACCTCGTGCACATTGACTTCGGCTTCATGCTCGGCATTGCTCCAGGCGGCAACTGGAGCTTTGAGACGGCGCCTTTCAAGTTAACCAAAGAGATGGTGGTAGTGCTAGGTGGCGTGTCGTCCCCACTATTCGGCGAGTTTGTGCAGCTGGTGGCGTTAGGATTACTAGCAGCTCAGCGTCAGTCTGATCGAGTCGTGGCGCTGGTCGAGATTATGATGCACAACTCAACCTTCCCATGTTTTCAGGGACGTGACGTGTCTCGAGATCTACAGAAGCTTCGCAATCGCTTTCTGCTTCAGTGCTCCACCGAGAAAACAGTCAAAGCGGTCGTCAAGATGATTCGTGTGAGCTACAAGAACAAGTGGACGAAGCGCTACGATCAGTTCCAGAAGATCACGAACGGCATCGTACCGTAGGATTCATGTGCATCAGCTTCACCAATTACTGTACCCGCTAACGTCGTCTTAACTTCGGCCGTTGCAGTCTATTGGAACTCGGCCGAAGATAACAGATATTGGTAGCGCTCAGTATACACTTGAACTAACTATGGGAGAGTAAACGTACCCCCGCTAACTTCGTCTGCAAAATTCATTGGTTAAAATAGAACAGACCACTGACGAATTCTCGGAGGGGCAAGTAAGCGTCGGAGTCCGCGAGGACGGCTTAAACGAGTGCGTGGTGAGTTCGTTTGGACGACGTACAACTAGATGCGCTGCGGGGGGTATGTGCTACTCCATCTACTCTTTCTCTGCGATCCCTCTGTTGGCTAATTAATTGCTTGTGGTGTGTTGATGTATTAGAGCTCCTCCAAGCGCAAGACCACGTCTGCTTAAGCACCAAGGTGCCTACATCGTCCACTGCCGAACCTGGTTTATCCCCGGGAAGCCTTGTGTATTTTGCAGTCGGAAGAGCTGCCCAGTCGGAAGAGCTGCCACAGAGCCGCCACAAAGACACCATCGGTCCATGAGACCCTACCACTTTTCTCAACGGATGCACGCCAAGCTGCATTACGCTTGCAGGCCATTGGAGCGCAGGTACATACGCTAATACTGTCGGTTTGCTGAGTGTGATGCTAACTACTGTCTGTCGTCTTTACTTTTGCGCTAGAATGAAGGGCGCAGTTATGTTGTGGATGGCAGAGCCTCGCGATCAAAGCGAATGCATGCCGCAATTAGTCTTTGAGGCGCATTATGACAGTATGAACTTGGCGAGGGCAACCGCTGAGGTATGGCTGTCTCGGCAGAAATCTAAATTGGCCTTTATTCTAATCTTTCTGTTTAATCAATTTTTTTCTGTGGTCTTCAGCTTTTTAGTCATATCTACTCTGTAGTCACGACGCTGAAAAGCGGATGCGCGACAACGAGCGGAAGGCAGCCCGTTGACCATCACTTAGTTCGCTCCAGGCTTTGACAATTCCTGTAAGTTTACCAGACCTACGTCGTTTGCATTTCCCTCGTTCTACTTTGTCAGTTTTGCTCAAGCCTGTCACTAACAATGTCTCGCATTGACTAGCCATGGTTACCATAGCAGACATCCACTGCATCCTTTCCGACTCGTGAACTGGCGCTGGGATAGGTGGTATACTAGACAATCAGCAACGTACGCCACATATTCGACAGCACGCAAGCAGTCCTTTTGACTTCTGTTGCCACGGGATTTGGAAAGAGAACCGAGACCCTCCACGAAATACTGCACCAAGAAGTCGGACAGACGCTTGCCCCTCAAGCTGGATAAACTGTGTGGCCACGTTTGTTCTACCATTGGAGGACGTAGTTCCAGTGTTGAGGCTGCATTTGGTGGCTGGGTTTGCTCCGCCACGTTGCCGGTACTGCACACAGCGCACACGGTGTGCTCCATGCGAGGCATGTGATCTAACCGATCTAATATTTGATGCATCATGTTTTTCAGACTTTCATTTGCAGCAACAAGTTCTTGATGCCCAAGTAATAACCTCTCAAGCGTATCCCCAAAGGTATGAACTCCAACAAATTGTTCCGCTTGTTCTTCCATCGTGAGACTGCTTTTAATACTTTCTACTGGAAGCGAGAGGATGTTATCAGTAACAAACCGCTTCCGGATCTTGCTACCCCAGTCCAGCAGCTCCTCCTGACACGAATGCAGCTGTGGTAACGCGGCGTGTACACTCTGCATTTTCTGGTGAACAATGTGCTGTGGGGAAATTGCTAGCGTGTCTCGGTAATACATTAAAAGCGTCGCGGTAAGACAGTCAGCAAAACCCTTCGGGGAAATCTTTGCAAAATGGAGAAGCCGTAAAGAGTCAGCAAATTGGCTAACTCTGGTGTATGTTTGATGTGATTCCATCTCGAAACAGGCTAGCGAGGGTGGATGACCAGCTTGCTTGGTATCTATCCAGCCGCCCAGCACTTTAGCAACATTTTGGTCTGCAGCAGTGGTAGGTGATATGTATTCGAGAAGAGTTGCAAATCCATCCACTGACCACAATCCTCTGTGTGCTAGATCCGACAAGTTCACGCTGGCGTTGGAGCTTGCGTACGCCGCACCACCTCGTCGTGTTGAATGCGACTGGAGATTTCTCGTAAGTGTCAACGTGTGATCATACTTGTACATGGATTTCAATAACCTGTTGATGTACGCAGCCACATGCGCTTCCGTCGTAGTCTCCAATACTTGTGAGAACACCCTTGGCGAGGCGTTATACGGATTGGCAATTAGCTGAGATGCCAAAGCATGGAAAGGGTCAATACTCCAGCATATAGGAGAACAGAAAATCGAAATACTTTGTTGTTGTCGAACTTTTATGCTGCAGAACGAAAACTCAATTAATAGGAACAGAAGAAATAGTACTAGCTAACTCTTACCGTGTGACGTCGATGAGAGCAAAATTCCCATTCCAGTGTAAGTCTGAGAAGTGAATGGTGCCAATATCCGAGCTGCGTCCAATTGCTAGCCATTGATTGTTAAGCAGAGTTCTGTCTAGTAGCGCTTCGACATCATTGCGAAGAAAGAGAATTGTAGAGATGGAACGTAAGTCGTCTAGTGTCATAGGAGGAGCCTGTTGCTTCAGCTTTTTTCCAGTCGAAATGGAAAGCATGAGATATTGTTTTTGAAGATGACGACGACATCGTCGGTACCACTCCGGATCGTTGCGGAAAAGCTCTGTGCCAGTCGTCTCTTCCAGCTGACGCTTGATAGAGCTGAGATAGCTCATCGACGTCTGCCAATGGATGTCAGGATCATTAAACAAAAAAGATAAAAACTTACCAAACATTTCTTTTGTCACATGAGCTGCTGTTAGCGTAGCTAGCTTCAGAGTCTTGTCTACATGTCTGGTCAAGAAGGCATTGAACTTCGCCCTTGCGGACGCATCTTGCTTCTTGGAAGAGGGGCCAAGCTCACTCTCCATCAAGTCCACAATCGATTCCACGTTGGTATCGCCTGCCATCTCCAAAAGCTTTTCCCCGACTGGTCACAGTAAGGTGACGTTACTTGAATGTTGCGCTAAGGTAACTTTGATTATCTTCGTCAGACGAAGTTAAGTAAATACCCTACTATATCATTTAACTTGATCGAGTCTCCTCGCGTGTTACGACCTCATCTTCTTTGCTGGATTGTTGTTTTCCACTTTAGGATCGTAGTCGAATTGAGAGAGGCTGAGATCTTCCATGTTGTATTGAGCGTTCGCATGAGCTTGGACCGTCGAAGGTTGCTCTGTCTTGACGATAGTTGGAGGGTAGTTCGACGTCATCATCCGCGGCGGAGGTGGCGCATTCGACGATATCCAACGCTGCGGCTGCGGGCGGAACGGACTTGACGAAGCGCTTGCCGTTGCTGTCGAAGGAGAAGCTATATATCCAGAACTCATACTTTTGCTCGCAGCCGTTTGCATTGTTGGATTCCTTGAACTGGCAGTGGAAAGTCCCTGGGTTTGCTGTTGCATGGATGAATTGTAATTCGTTGGTTGAGGGTTACGCAGGACTTGGGGCGGCTTCCACTGCTGTGGTTGTTGTGGTTGACGCTGTTGTTGTTGGTGCGGTTGGATCGATTGCTGGGGCGTCTGTGGTCGTTGCTGTTGGATCGGTTGACGCTCTTGTTGCTGATTTTGTTGATGTTGCACAGGCTGATGAGGCTGCTGCTGGTTTGGTGGTGGTCGAGGTCCATTCTGCACTTCAGGTTGCTGCTGCATCGGCTGCTGAACGTTCGGCTGCTGTTGAAAAGCCTGCGGCGGTCGTTGTTGCTGCGCTACTTGCTGAGCCTGGGGCTGCTGGTTCTGTGGTGGTGGTTGAAGTCCACTTGGCGCGCTAGTCTGCCTATTTGGCCCCAAAGGTACTGCGCCACCGCCACTCTGAACCTGTTGCTGTTGTTGCTGTCCTGGTAGAATCACGTTTGGTGCCGCCGCCAGCGGAGCCATGGGTTTGTTCGAATTGACGTCCTTGATATGGTCTTTGTCATAGCAAGAGTTGCCCAGGTACTCTCCAAACAACCTCAATGCTCTCTTTCTCGCATCTGAAATGCTTGCTTTTTTGGACTGTTCCAATGCCGCTCCCAGATCTCTTTGTCCGTCCGACGTGCCAAAGCCAACGTCTTCATGACTTGTGCCATCCTTCAGCTCAATGCGCACCAGCGAGCTGTACCCGATGCTCCAGCGATCGCCCTTCTTCTCCTTCTACACACACCATTAACTGTTCAGCACTCCACAAACCACACTTACAGCCCCGACTTCACGTACGTATTCCTCCTTACACTCGACAATGTGACATGACCACCCGTTGAAGCCGAATGCGCGATTGGCCAATTCGATGGCTTTGCAACTCTCAATGTACGTCAATTTCCGACCACCGGGTCCGGGTCTGCGGGCCAGACTGTCCTTACCCAATTTCTGGTGGAGAAAGGCGTTGACGCTCTGTTGCTCCTGTTCTCCGAAGACCACGCGCCCGAAGCGCGCCGCACTGCCACCTGTAAGTGGAGCCAGCAGAGCTGCAGCAACTTGCTGAGCCACAAGCGTCGCCACCGTTGGCTGCATGTCGTCAGGCTCGGGCTTCACGTCCTTCGCGTCCGACATTTCGCTCAGCCTCCGCTTCATCTGTTGAATGCGGGCGCCAACTGCAACTTTTTGAATTTAAAATTCATTTTTGTGCGCCACACTAAATCGGGCGTACATAGACGTGTCTTTCAACACACGTGGCATTTGCTTCGCTTTTTAGCCAATACCACGTTGTCATATGTATCATTGGATAAAAAGCCGTCTATCGCGATCTGTCGAACGCCGCGTGGCCCGCACCCTACCCGTAGTCATTCCCTCGTTTTCCCCACAGCTCGGACACACACGCACTCGCAACTGTAGCAGCAATGTCGGACGTCAACGCACTCGTGTTCCAGCCGCTGAACCAGTTCTTCAAGAACTCGCTGCACCTGATTAAGAAGTGCAACAAGCCCGACCGGAAAGGTGCGTTCTAGTTGCTTTATTCCGCGCTAATAAACCCCAGAATCGGTTAGCTGACCTTTTCTTTTGCCCTTCTGTAGAATTCGCCCGTATCGCTGGCGCCACGTCCGTGGGTTTCCTCATGATGGGCTTCATTGGATTCTTCGTGAAGCTCGTGCACATCCCTATCAACAACATTCTCGTGGGTGGCAGTGCTTAGTCCCGCAGTCTACTGCTCAGTTTAATATGTCGACCCCTGCGTCGATAACTCAATAGACAGTAGCTTTATGTACACAACTGTCTAACTGTCGATCCAATTATTGCCAATAAATCACGCAATATTTGTCGCTACGGTGCATGAAGCGTCGCGATGGAGCTGCTTGATGACACGACTCCTGAGCAGCAAGCTAGAGCCGCGAGGCTCGAGAGCACGCGACTGTGCCACGTAAACGGCAATCCGCTGACTCCCAGAGCCTTCGCCGTAGACCAGAAGCTGCGACGCGCTGCACCTCGAGGCATCGATGTGCGTAGCCTAAAGAATTGTCAAGTTTAATCCTATTGA